AGCGCCGAGGGGGCGTCATGGCGGCGCCGGTGGCGGGCACTGCGGGTGGCGACGCAGCGGGGCCGGGGCGCGCGGCAGCGCCCGCTGAGCCCTTGTTGCCGCAGGAGGCGAACGGCGTGGGCGGCAGAGCGGTCCGCGTGGGCACGCGCCGGAGCCAGGTGAGCGGGGCTGGGGGCCGTCCCGGGCGAGAGGTCCGGGCTGCTGGGGCCGCGCTCACGGCTTCGGCTCCGGCGGCGCGGGGGCTTGGGGCGCCCGCGGCGGCGCTTCCAGCGCGGGGCTCGACGGCGAGGGCCCTGCGCCCGGCTGTGCCCGTGGGCGAAGCAGGGGTGTCCGGTGCGGGCTGCGCGGCGCCGCCGCGCGCAGATAGCACCGGTATCTGCGGCACCCTGCGGCAGGGAGCAGCAGCCTCACCGGGCAGATAACGGCCCCTTGCGCCTTGGCCCCCAGATAACGCTTTCAGATCCGGGCGGCAACTTCTGGGAAGGCATCTGTGCTTCGAGAAGGTGGCACAGCCCGGTCCGTGGCGTACCGTGGGGCACAGCCGGCCGTCTCGGCTGGACTCCCTTGGCCGCCTGTGGCTCCCGTGGCCCTTGTGCAGGGACTCACCTGCTTTGGCTCGTTAGGTCTGTTGGGGCAAGTGCTGAGACCAAAGTTGGTTGCCTGAGGCTACACAGCTCATGGCAGCAGAGACTAAAGGACCGTTTTCTTTGCACCTGCGGTTGCCCGACTCTTAATGATGGTTGTGTCTGAAGAAACTTTCTTCACTACCAAGACCTTGATTTTGCTGCTGTCATACGCAGGAAAGTTTTTCTTGCATTTTACTGGTGCAAAACCTGTTGCTTGCTCGATGTGCGGACCTGAGCTGGTACTTTCTTCTCTCCACGGAATCCCTTAATAGAGCTCTGATCTCACACAGCACGAGTATCTTACATTTCCCTGTTGTGGAGACTTTCCACAGGCAAGGCGAAATCCAACTGGCCCTTTCCAGAGCTTGCAGCCCTGGTAAAATTTATATACCTAGAAAAAGCTTATAGGACCAGGTATGTGCTGCAGGTTGTTAGTGAGTGGCAGCTGGGTGGTTTCCTTCACCTTTTGGCATGAATTTTGCTTTCTGCTCCCTTGCAGCTGGCCCGGATTCAGACTGACAGTGTGGTTGAGATGCTCCGCGAGCTGTATCCCGACCTGCACTATGAGATTGGTAAGTTTGGGGGCGCTGCCTGGTTATCTGGGTGCGCAAGACACGAGTGCAGGGCGCTGTCACGAGGAGGAGAATTAGCCTCGACTTATCTCGGAGCCCAGCCCAGCTAGGTTGTGCAGCCGAGCAGCTGCTGCTACCGTCTTCCAAGGAGGAAAGATGGAATTTAGAAACTGCTGGCAGTCGATGATCTGGGGACCTAGTGCGGATGCCGTTGCCTTGCAACGTTTTGAGAACGTGGCATCGATCTGGCTGCACCCTGGCTTCAGTGTAAGTGCTGAGGGGGCGTTCCTGCCTGGCACTTGTGGTGTTGGTCTACACAGGAAGATGCAGGAGCCCAGTCTGCCGCTTAAGAAAGCTGCTGCGTGTGTGCCAGCACTCAGAGATGATTTTGTCCTGAGTCTGTGTTTGCACAGCGGTGTGTAACGCTGCACTGCTGCGCATCGTGTGTTACATAGACCTATCTAGTCCAGGCCGCTGTGTGCTGCCCGTGCCTTACGCGTATGCCTGTGCTTTCTCTCGCTGAACAGTTGCTATGTCGACAACGGGAGACAAGATCTTGGATACGGCGCTTTCTAAGGTAAAGGATACTTTTTTCTCTCTACGGGCCAAGTAAGGGGTGCGAGGGTGTACCTGCGAATGGTTTCCTGTGCTTGTGTTCCTCTGCTCTCATTTAGATTGGGGAGAAGAGCCTCTTCACCAAAGAGCTGGAAAACGCCCTCGAAAGAAATGAGTAAGAGCTCTATGCTTTCCCTCTGCTGCCTGTCATATGCGTTATTCTTCAGCCTTCGTCCTAGACTTCCTGCACAGGTGGTCTAGTTTCCTATGCTTTGAAGGGAAATATCAACTGACGTGCGGGCTGCCTACTGGGTCAGTGAATCTCCCCACGGGTGCTTTTTCCAGAACCTTCCCCTGGCTCAAGCTGCTCGTTGAAATGTGTCTCCCAGCACACGTGGGAGGGCAGAATTATCCTGACTTTACAGTACAGGGGGGAAGAGGGACGGAGAAAGGTGTGACCTTTGGGGTGTTGTGCTGTCCTTCTCTAGTAATTCTGGCTGTAGAATCCTGAATTCCCCCTCTCGCTTTCTCCTTCTGTTTTGTTCCCCCCAACTAACTCCCAGTGTGGATTCTCGTCCCTCTCTGCATTGCCTGCAGGGCTCTGGTAGGTGTGTCATAAAGCCGCCCGCCTCTTTGGTGCTCTGATTCCTGCCCTCTGCTTTCAGGGTTGACCTGGTGGTTCACTCCTTGAAGGACCTGCCAACTTCCCTCCCTCCTGGCTTTACCATTGGTGCTGTCTGCAAGTAAGCGGGGACGGAAGGCTCGTTTCTCTGAGCGGGGAAAATGGACTATGCAGAACAGGCGAAACGGGAAGGGGAGGGAGCGTGAGCCTGTGGGTGCGTGTGCACCAAGTCCGCAGGAGATGCTGTTCCCCTGGAACCTGCAGTGACCCCTTTCCAGGGAGGATTAAGCATGTTTGCAGGTTACGCCCATCTCTTCCAAGTTTGTTCGCTCTCTGATTATTCTCTCAATTGGTGGAAGCGTGATAGCCACCCCAGACATCTGTGGCCAGCAGGCTTGCTGGGAGTTTGTTTGTTGGTTTGTTTTTAGTAAGGATAAAGGGATGTTTTTTTCGAGTGGGGCAGCTGCCGTTCCTGTGAAGTCTGAGACACATGACTTGCTGCGGTTTCAGGGGCCTCCTGTTGAATCATGTCATGGCTAAAGTGCTCTTGTTTTGTCTTGCAGAAGAGAGAACCCACACGATGCTGTTGTCTTTCATCCCAAAAGCACTGGGAAAACACTTGGCCTTCTTCCTGAAAAGAGGTAAGCACGGAGAAGGGGAAGATGATTCGGTGTAGAAGTTGTTGTTTGGCCTACTCTCGCTGAGGTTCTCTCGGAGATGGGCGCTTTCCCTGATTGGAGATACTTGACTAGTTTTCTGTGCTTCTTTATAGAGGTTATGGGACTCTCTGGGTTGAGACGGCTGAGTGAAATGACTTTTATTAGGGTGATTGTATTAGAAATGTTTTGTTTTACTGTATTCAAAACAAAGTAAAAGAAACAAAGCCACGTTGTGGCAAAGGTAGGTTCACGCTTCTGTGCAGCTTAGTAGCTGGAAGATCACGTGTGGCTTAGGTTGAGGATACCAAGGAAAGTATTAGCACGCATCTCTGGAAAGGAAATATGTACTGTCTGGAAGTCCACTTAGGCCTGCTGTTCTTTCCAAAGGTTGTCCTCTGCCATCTTATGCCATTTAAGTGCCTCCATTTGGGACAGAGGAGTCCGTTCTCTGACAGCCTTCTTTGTGGACTGTCAGTGGAGAAGACTTGGTTTACTTCGGACAAGCTCTTTAAAAGAAGTTGCATCAGTCCTTGATGGTCACCGGGGGCTGTTTTCCAGAAGCAGCCCCTGTAAATCAGGTCCTTGAGAAGGGTCTTCTAGCTTCAAGCAGACTTTGTCCTAAATCTCGCCAAGTAGTTCTCCTTCTGCTGACAAGTATCTGTAGTAGGCAGGTTCTCAAGATCTTCATTTCCGTTAGGAAGTAACAAAAAGTCGTTCGCTCCCTTGAAGTTCCTGATGTATCTTTGGCTGGAGGTAAATGCAGAAGTACTCTGGATTTCACTGCTCTGATTTTTTTCCAACAGTGTAATTGGAACCAGCTCGCTTCGGCGAGCAGCCCAACTCAAAAAGAAGTTCCCTCACTTGGAATTCAGAGATATCGTATCCTTTCCTGGCTACAAGGGGGAGCATTTAAAGCTGCAAGAAGGAAAAGAGAAGGCAGGTTCTCATTGCCTGACCTACAAAAACCACCCCCTTCCCCTAAGGCTGCCCCGTCTCCTGTTTTCTGAGGGGTGTATGATGCTGTGCAAGCCACTCAGTCCTCTTCCTCCTCAAACTGTAGAGAAAGGGTCTGCCCTATTTTTTTTTTAATCTTTGAAGAGGCAGAAGCATTTGGCAATAAGGAGATCTCTTTGATAGGTGCCTAAAACCTGTTAGATAGGTGCCTGCCGTGTTTTGGCCAACTGCCATTTGCTCCTCAATACCTTGGAGACAGGGTTTAAGCCACTGACCTGGTGGCCCGGGCAGTGTTATCTCGGTCCTAGTAACGCAGGTCCTTGGCATGCAAAAAGTTGCTATCAGGGGCCAACGGTGCACCTTCTGCACCGAGATAAAGATAAGGGAACAATTGTCCGTGATTAGCACTTCTTTCAGGATGGTGTCCTGACTGCTCCTCTCTTGGAGGCCGTCAAGCTCTGTGAATTCCGTAAACGCACACCAGCGAAGGCTTGTAGGACTGTTTGCATGCTGTTTCTTACCTTGCTTAACCACTTGGGCAGAGAGGGAACCTGAACACCCGCTTGAAGAAACTCGATGAGAAAGAAGACTTCAGCGCCATAATCCTGGCTGCTGCCGGGCTGAAGAGAATGGGCTGGGAGAATCGCATTGGCCAGGTAAAGAGCAGCAGGGCAGAAAAGGACGTTCTCTTCCGAACCGCTTCTCCTTCGGGCCCGGTACAGGTCCCGTCACGGAGGAGCACATAGCCTGCCGAATCCACCTCCACGTTAGCTTGTAGTTCGGTTCGTTTCAGGCCTTTCTGTTTCTTCACAAGTATGAATTTTCTGTGCAGCTTTCCGTGACGCAGAGAGGCTTTGTAATCTGATCGTCTCCCAGCACTGCGCACCACTTGTCCAGCAGTAGGCAGACCAGATGTTGCAGATAACAAAGTAAAGGAACATTACGATCCAGATGAAAGGAAGTGTGGTATCTCGTGTTAGGGATGCAGACACTGAGGCACACACGGAAGGAGGCCGTGTTTCCACGGGCAGGCAGGCGAGGGCGTAGAATTCAGTGCCAACTTTCTCTGTCCTGAAGAGTGCAACCTGAATTAAGTCTGACTTGGCTTTCTTCCAGATTCTAAGCCCAGAAGATTGCCTGTATGCCGTTGGACAGGTACGTTCCAGCTTCTGGGTCCGAAGCCTTGGTGCGTATTGAAAGCCCGCAGCAGTACAATGCTGAATATTTCCGCTGTTTGTTGCCAAAGGCTCTCTTTGTTGTCAGCAGTCTCTCTTGGTACCCATTAAACTGCTTATGCACAGGCTGGGGGAGGAACAGGCAGTTCTCTGCTAGCCGGTGCGTTGGAGGCTGGGGCATCATCAGGAATGGGGAAAATAAGTTAAATAAAGGCGGTATGTGTGTGTGTGTGAGAGAGAGACACCGTGGCCAGCACCAGGGAGGCCTGGCAGGGCTAGGGCTGAGCTGTATCAGGCGGATCGCAGACAGGCAGTGCCATCTCTCTGCTCCGTGACCCACTCACCCCTCCTCCTTCCTGCATCCGAACTACAGCAGCATGGAGATGAAGCACGTGGCTTGGTACATGTTCCCAGCGCACTCGTTTCTGGGCGGGAAGGGTGTTCTGGCCCCTGCTAACCATCCAGCTGTGTTTACTCGCTGTTGTGCTGCGGGTATGGAAGGTGCTACGCGTGGCCGAGTTACATCTTAGTGTGTGCAAGTGTGTGCACACGTAGTACAGTGTTTTCCCAGCCTTGATCTGCTATCACTGGACAAATAAAAGAGTCGGCATGCTACTCCTGGGTAGGAGAAGGTGGTCTGGGCTGACAGACCTCCTTTAACAGGGTGTGAAAATCAAGAAAGGGTCACTGAAGAGGAAGCTGCAAGAAACCTCCAGTTTGAAGTAGTAGCGATCTGTATCGTGTTGGTCAAGTATTGCACTGTTCCCCTCTCTGTGTTTGCTTTTTGTTCTCATTCTCACTTTGGGAAGGATTTGTTTTGCTACTCATGCAGCATTTGTCCTGCATCTCGACAAACGCTTGGCGCGTTGAGCTCCCTCTGCCCATTCCTGTGCTGTAGCGAGAGGACCGTATGGCAGGCATTTGTATATGTGCAAGCGGAAAGGGTATGGGCGCTTTTTGGCGCCAGAGAAGGACGTCTGGTGGCAGCGCGCTCTCGAATACCCGGCCGAGGGAAGTTCTGACCTTCCCTTTGGAGCGGCTTCTGTCAGGTGTCTTTGCAGCCTGTGCTTTAGGGCTTGCGATTGGGCTAAGCTCCCCAAGGGAGATGCATCCAAGTCTGTGAATTTGGTTTTGTGACCGTACTGAGCGCACAGGGATGCGTACGCATAAATCTGAGTAGGTTTGTTCTTGTAGGGTGCCTTAGCAGTCGAAGTTCGTGCCAAAGACCAAGAGATACTCAACATGGTATCTGCCCTGCATGATGAAGAAACTGTGCTGTGCTGCATTGCTGAGAGAGCCTTTATGAAACATTTGGTATGTGTGACATTGTTGCTTTTCTGTTTGCTCGCTTGCACGCTTGCTTCCATCCTGCACGAGCAGAAAATACGGCTCTGCTGCCGTCAAACTGAGAATGTAGTCTGCAAAGCAGGCCGTGTACGTAAAGACCGCAGAGTGATGGCTAGACCTGTGTACGACGCATACTTTGCAGAAGCTTCTGCTCTGAATGTGCCAGGTGGGAACGTTGGTGTCAGCTTCTCTCTGTCTTAGGAGGGTGGATGCAGTGTTCCTGTTGCAGTCAACAGCGTGCTGAAAGATGGCCAGGTAAGGAGTGCTGTGGATCTTTTTTGGTGATTATACCCGGGGAAGAAAAGTGTGCCTGGGTGCGCACATTCGCTGATATTTCCCCGAAGTTAACTCCAGCTTCCAGCTTTCCAAGCGAGGAGGGCAGACAGGGGCCCAATTCAGGTTTTTAGGTTGGTGTCTGAAGTACTAGGGCTGAGAATAGGTCTGGTCGCTGAAGCTCTGTTTGTGAGATAATGCCCTTATAAAAACAGGCTTCTCCTCCTCCCTTAAAGGCCATGTTACCTTAGGACTGAAAAAGTCACACCTGACTCTTGAAAAATACGCGTATTCCTTGTAGTTTTATCCCTTTTATTCCTGTGGGTCTTACTGGGCTATGAAAGCATTCACCTCCAGCTTTGGCTGCGTAATTTGCATTTTTTTCCTCAAAAGAAGGTGCTTGGCTTGGGTTGTTTTTGTGGTATGGTTTGTTCTGAAATGCTATTAATTCTTTCTTTGTGTCTTTCTAAGCTGTATTTGACTGGAGCTGTCTACAGCTTGGATGGTTCTGATAGCCTGAGGGAGACTATGCAGACCAGTGTTAACTACCCACAACAGGTATGTGAACCACATTTTGTTTTCAAAATGCCAACCGGGAGCCGTAAGACAAAGCCAGGCCTCTTGAAATCTATACTGCTTTTTGTCTGGTTCTTCCAGGTGTCGCCTTACGGAGCATTTTGTTTGTCCCCCATCTCCCGCCAGCCCCCACCCCCTCACCTCTTCACAACTTTTTGGAAGTTGTACTGGGACCTGGGACACCACCACATTTTACCCACTTCTGTGTATGAATTGAACGGTACTCCTTTCTGCTGCCTTTCTATAGAGAGACCTTTGTATTTGCAGAATGAAGATGGACCAAATGACGACGTGCAGCACGTTGGCATCACGGCCAAGACTGTTCCTCGGCAGGCTCAGCAAGCTGCAGAGAGCCTTGGTGTTGAACTTGCAAGTTTGCTTCTGAGCAAGGGAGCTAAACATATCCTTAGCGTAGCAAGGCAGCTCAATGATGCCCGCTAAGCCTGTGCCGGAGCGGGCACGATTGCTGCAACTGTGTTGTCATTCTTTGGGAGAATGGATTTATTTAGCCATTTTCACATCAGTGTCATCTGGTGTGTGGACATAAAACTTGAAATACAAAGTTAACTTGTGAGTACTTTGCCTTCAGGGATTTCGTCCCATCCTGCATTTCTCCAGCTCACGAGCTATCTCTATGAGACTCATTTCAGTTAGCTTGTTTTTTGTCACTAGAAATTCCACCGAACTTAGGAAATGTGTTCCTATGACCTGTAGGAGTGAGGAACTGAGTACAAATTATAACCAAAGACTCAGCTGACATATTAGTAAAGAATATAATGTACTTTAAATAGTTACAGAACTTGCCCAGTGCTTTGAATACGATGTGGGCCTGCTCCCACCTCAGAAAGATTGCCCAAAGGGAGCTAAATTGCTAGACTTCTAAGAGAAGATTTTTAATGGCAGACTCCGAGAGACGATGCTCATCATAGGTCTCGGTTAAAGAATTAAGTTTGAAGCATTGGGTCTAAACTTATCTCGAGTATCTAGAAGGTTAATTTATGCCTGCACCGATGTGAGGCGCGATGCTACCCATTGACTTGCTCTAAGCTTGAAGGGGCTCCTTCCTTTCTCTGCAGCTGCTGCCTAGTCCCTCACGCTGCCGTCAGGAGGAGCTGACATGTCCGCCTTGCCGAACGGCGACATGGCTTCTAACTGGGGCGTTGTTGTGGAAATGAAGCATTGTTTATTCCCGGGGCGGCGCCGGCTGAACGTAACGGCCAATAAATACAGCTAACAGCGGCCCGGGCGCGGCGCCTCGTCTCTGCAGGGGGTGGATGTCGCTGAGCGGGGGCGGCGCGCGCGCCCCACGGCCCCGCCCCCGGGCGCGACGGCGGCCGGCGCCGGGCCCCTTCCCCCCGGATCCAGCTCTCCCGGTGAGCAACGTGGGTGGCCCTGAAAAGGGCCGTTGTGTGGCGCGGTCGGGCCGCCTGCCCGGCGCTCAGTACTCCTGCGACTGCTGCCCCCCGCCCTTCTTGCCAGCCTTGGCGGGCCCCGCGGCGCCGCCGCCCGTCTTCTTGGGCAGCAGCACGGCCTGGATGTTGGGCAGCACGCCGCCCTGCGCGATGGTGACGCCGCCCAGCAGCTTGTTCAGCTCCTCGTCATTGCGCACAGCCAGCTGCAGGTGTCGCGGGATGATGCGCGTCTTCTTGTTGTCGCGGGCCGCGTTGCCCGCCAGCTCCAGGATCTCGGCCGTCAGGTACTCCAGCACGGCCGCCAGGTACACGGGTGCGCCGGCGCCCACCCGCTCCGCGTAGTGCCCGCGCCGCAGCAGCCGGTGCACGCGCCCCACGGGGAACTGCAGCCCGGCCCGCGACGAGCGGGACTTGGCCTTCGCCCGGGCCTTACCGCCGCTCTTGCCACGGCCAGACATGGCGCCTCGCTACCCCGTCGCCTCGTCGACTCCACGCAGCAGCCGCGCCGCCAAGTGAGGCTGCGGGCTGCTCACCCAGGCTCTTTATAACCTCTGGCAGAGGTGGGCCCAGCTCATTGGACAGCGCAGCGGCGCCTCGCCATTGGCGCGTCCTCAGAAAGACGTCTCCGCTGACTGGAGCGCTTTGTGATCCGACGACGCTCGCCTCGAGCCTATTGGCGGCTGCGACGGACCAATAGCGAGGTAAGGCGCCAAAGTCGTACCGCGCGGCGGCAGTTGGGACGCGCGGCGGGGGAGGGGCGCGCTGAGCTGAGGCAGCGCCGCGCGCCCAGGCTCCGCGCGGCGGCAGCGACGGGGCCTGCTCTGGCCTCTGGAGCGCGGGGCGGCAAAAGCGTTCGCTGCGGAAGTTGCGGTGCCCCTGAGAGGAGAAACGGAGCAGCCCTCTGTAACTCGGGGCTGACTGTGGCAAGTTGCCCGCAGGTGATAGCCCTAGGTCAGTGCGAGATAACAGGCTCTAGCCATGACGCCTAGGTGCTGACAATAAGGGTGCTCATGGACGGAGGAGTGAGCAGCTCACGGACGGAGGAGTGACAGCAGAGCCTCAACAGCACTATCCGCGTGGTGCCCCACAGCTTGACTGTTCACCAAGCCCTCCAAGGTGGGGATCAGCCCTCTGGGGTGAGGTGAGGCTGAGGACCCCTACCTGCCTGAGGACTGTGGGCCTCACAGTGGGGTACTGGCAAAAAAAAAAAAAAAAAAAAAAAAAAAAGACAGAGGGCAACATGCAAAGCTTGCTTTGGGACACTTCAGGGGCCTGTGAGGGTGTGCGAGCCTTCATACAGGCTGTTTAGCGGAAGACCCAAAGATGGGGAATGAGAGGCATCAAAGTGAACAGGGAGGAACAAGCATGAGAAAATGCAAGCTTGAGGCAGGGGTGCCATATTTACTCGTGTTGATGGTGCACTGCTAGTCCGTGGTTTGTCCTGTCCCTTTAGTAAGCTGTGTCTAGCTATTTCTCGGTTCCTATTCTGTGTGTCTGGAGGTCTAAGGGCACGTGCTGCAGTCGAGTCATTGCCACAGAGGCCGTGTGGCTATGGTGCCGGGAAGCGGGGGAACCGGAGCTCCCAGGTTGCAGGCGGGGGTTGTTGGGGAGAGGGGCGGTGTCAGTTTGTGCAATTCCTATTGGATATCAAGTAGCACGAGCCAGCAAATAAGGTGAGGAGGTTCCGAGCCTGGTATTTGGGATGAGGTCCGGGTCGACAAGGTACCTACCCAATGCCGATCTGAGGCAGCCGCTGGAAAAATCGGGGTAGAGGGAAGGTATCCAAGAGTCAGCCACTGGGAAGGCTTTCGGTCTGGACCAGCTACCAGATGGATCTACTTGTGTGCCTCTGCGTGTGAGGTCAGACTATGAGCAACTGCAGCGGGGCTGTTACCAGAGCCTGGGGAGACCGAGGAGTCTGGGGGCAGCTACCGGACAGCAACTGAAGGGATCCCTAGTGCGTGTAGAGATATGTAAGCATATATGTGAATATATCCCGCTAGCAGACCGCTATGTCCAGCAGCTGGAAGGGAGAATGGGGCCATTCGTATCATTCAAGTTGGAGTGCTTTGTTGATCTGCGTGGCTGACCATATCCGTTTGTACCTCCTGTGAGCACGTCCTCAGCCTCCCAGATGCAGCAACTTTTAGTGCCACCCTTCTCAGTGTCCCTGCCCTTGCATCATTCTGTGTTTCATTCCCATCAGTCTAATGCAGAATCTAAAGCAGAATCTAATGCAGACTCTCCTGTGGCTCGTGTGTTTTATTCCGTCAGGTAGGCAGCAATTCTGTGGTGAGCTGTGATGCCAGAAAATGCTGTATGAATACTCACATGAATTGAGAGAAACTAAAAAGCAGCCCGCATGGTTTCAGTCCCAGGTGAAGGTAAGGCTTTTATTGATGTCCTGTGCTATGAAAGAACATGGTGACCTTTCCTCGGCCAGTCTTAAAAGCGTTCTGCTCCAGGAAGGAAGACAGATGATCAAGTCATTTGGAATTTAAAGCCCTTCAATGGGAATATTCCCGGCTGCTGTTAAAAAGGAGGCAGTCTACTGCAGAAATTAACAGCCTCCAGCAGGACAGAAGGCCACAGCAATGTATGACACTATCTCGTTTCATTGTATGTCAGTAGTCTTCCCACGGCAAAGCACTGAAGGGGGAAGCATGCTACAAGTTATTTTATTCTTAGAGTGCGCCGAGTCCTGGGTCGGAATTATAGCATGTATTTGATGTGCATGCACCAAAGACAGTGCTGGTACAGCCAAAAGGGGGATTCTGGTTTAACCAACTCTGTATACAGAGTATAGTGTATACTCTTCTGTTATAGAGAGTCCTACAGAAACTGCAGTTGCTGTTTTATCTTTTGGGGAATAATAACATGCTTATCTGTATATAGAGCTTTTTCCTCTCCTACTTTCCCTAAGTACTCTGGGTAGGTGTGGGTCATATGCTTCCCATACAGAAGATACTCTCAATAGCAGTGACCTTTAAGTAGTACGATATCTCTTTTGTCAGCAGACTCAGACAAACACCTTCTTGCACACAAAAATGAGATCACAGCTCAAGACTGGCCGGCACAGAGCAGTCCCTTGCATCTTTAAAGGAGTCCTGAGGTTCTCAAAGGGCTGGAATAAGATGACTCTGAACATTCGGTCAGCAATCAGAGAAAGTAAGAGCTCGAGTGGAAGATGAAAACCTCGCCTCTGCTCGTGGCAGCCCAGTTAGACATCGTAGAACAAGCGCACTAGTTGGTATCGGATTGAAAATGCCACTACACTGCCCAGGACCTAGGTTAAAGAAAGAGAGAAAAGAAAAAAAAAGTTGAAACCTTGCAGTATTAGGTATATTACAGGCTGGCGGGTTCTTTTCCAAGTGGATGTGCTGTGCTGTCAAACACCGTTTATTTCACTAAAGGACAATGTTAAAATATTTAGGCACAGCACAGTGAAAAGCAGAAATCTGCACAACGTTCTCAGTCCTCTCTATCAGAGCTATAACTCTCCACAGGGGATTTTGTACATGCCTGTGCACGTTGACGTTGTCAGAATACGCAGAAGAGATGAAGAGCTGGGAAAAACACTTAACAAACCTTTATTTTAGCATAAACTACTGTTTGTGATGGGAGATGCCTCATCACAAAGCCATAATTCAGTATCCTTTCAAAAACTCAGCATCGAAACTTCTCTGATCTGACTGGGATCAAGATGCTATTGACTTACATGTGTGTGTATATATATGCTTCCTATCCCCTCCCATCCCTGAGGTAGCTTGCCTAAGCCTTGGGCAATCTGTAGACTCGCTTGTTGGAAGTCTTCCTGATAAACGGAAATTTGGCCGAGTCTCTCTTCTCTTTCCTGGTGAGGCTCTGTCACACATGGTGTATGAAGAAAAACTGCTATGTGTGAGGCACATTACCTCTATAATCTAAAAGGTGCTCCACAAAACTACCGCATTCCGCTCAGTAACACAGGGAGTCTAAGACAGACAGCAAGCCTATGCAGGGCCCCCAGCTGCATGTAACGTTGTGCTGTGTTATCTGGTACGGCTTAAAAAAGTGAAGCACGGAAAAGGCTGTATTAGGTGAGACTGACAAGGCTAGCACCTAGTGATACTCTCCTCTTTTTTTTCCAGCATCTGTTGGTTTGTGCTTTGGGGATCTTCTCAAGCTTTCTTTGGGACTTTGCATTTATTAGCTCTCAACGAACAAAGTCTGGGGAGGAGGCGAGGGAGAAGCCTATTTCCTCTTTCATCTACTTAAACCTCTGCTTCTCTTCGAGTTCCACAACTTGCTTGCTGCTTGTATGAACGTATGACATTTTTTCCCCCTTTTGTCCATAACACTCTTGTGCCTGATTGGATCTGTTTCTATTGCAGAGTAACCTTCCTACCTAAGAAGCCCCTTTGTCTGACCTGGATGAGCAGCAACAGGAGAGTGAGATTTCGCTCGTGCATGGGTCCAGTCAGCTTTATAACAAGGTTAATAAGTGTCATATTATTGCACTCGGTGTATTCGCCATCTTCATCCAGTCCGCTCCTCACATCTACTACGTGCAAGACGTTTACTGCCTGCGGAAAGAAATATTGCACCCGATATTTGACCAGGTATGTTCGCTGCTCACCAGTTGCCTTTGCCCAAGATTCCTTTTGCTGGATGCAGTGGTTTGACTTGTGCTCTTACTGAAACGACAGGCTAGGCTTATGAGGGCCCTGGGACCACTGCCAGAATATAGCTGTTAATACGACTCAGTGTCCGTGAGGGACGGCAGCAGGACTACCCAGAGTGTTTTCCAGTGGATTTATGCGACGAATTAACCACTGTTTGCTGAAGCGGGGCCTTCCCTCCCACCCTGTTCCTTTTCCACTTGATTACTGCCTCAAAACACGTCTAGACCTCCCTGGTCTTTCCACTGTTACCTTCAGAATGTATGTTCCCAGGGCTGAGAGGCTCTTCGTTTTGAATTTGGAGTAGCTCATCTCCAACTTCCCAGTATTAGGGTTGAGCCTAAAGAAAACATCGACATATTAGGAGCAAGGAGATAGAATGGTCCCTGTGTCATGAGAGAGAGATCCCCGTGTGGGTAGGTCTGAAAGGGAGGGGAGCAAAAATAATCTGACAGACGTAACAGCACCTGCTGATACCTGGTGATACCTGATATCTTTCCCCCCATATTGCCCGAATGTTTTTATCAAGTTCTGTCATTGTAAAAATGAAAATCAAACGTGCAGAGACAAGCACATATTGATAGGGCATAGTACTGCAAAATGCCTGCCACTGGCAAATCTTAGCAGATCATACCCCACTAACATTAGTAGTGGCATGTATCAATGTCTCTCATTTTTGTAGCTGGAAATAAATCTTAGTTTGACTTTGGTAAAGATCAGTCTTCTGTACCAGGCGGAAAAAAAAAAAATTAATTTCCCTGACAAACCTGCATGACTTTGTTGGACCCAATTGTAGTTGGTAGAGCAAGGCAGGAACTCTTTCGCTGCTCAGTCTATTTTGATAGGTTTCAGCACAGAACATCTACCCACCGGGGTTCTCGTTTCTTAGCTACTGTTGAAGGTAAAGGGCACCTTTCTCTGGTAGCATTACAGGGCAGTCGTGTACATTACCTGGGCAGCCGGTGGCGGGGACAAGGAATGATGTGGAAGAGTTGAGGCAATGAGTAGAGGAAGTTGAGCACTTGTGGGATGAAAAAAAGCAGCATGGTTTTGCTGAAGTGCCCCAAGATCCCCACCACGGCGAAGGTCATGCCTGCAAAGTAGCAGAAGGTGTCCCCGACAAAGACTTGCGATGGGTACCTGCAGGCCACAGAGCACAAAAGAGCAAAGGTCTGTCAAGATCGTTTCGCTGGAAGAATGGCTCGAGTCAGCACGTGTACCTCCCTGCGGCAGGGTGGAGGGCAAGAGGGAAGTTGCCGAAACCGGGGCCAGCTGCCTTGGTTTCAGCTAATGCAGACAATCTAGTCTCTGCTAAACAGGAGCATAACAGTTTCACGCTGTACAAAGGCAGTAGCTACTGGCATAATTGCTTTGGGGGAAGAGGATGATGCGGTGGTGGGCCAGCAAACCCCCAGTCCCAAAACTACAGAGAAACTGCCTGATCTTAGGTATCTTTGTGCTACACGAGCAACAGCAGTGCAGCATCCCTGGATAAATAGGACCGCTCAGACCTTGTCGCGCACACAACAGCCTCGAGCAGGATACCAGCGTTACACCTGCAACGTAGCAGTTGGTGCATGGGTTTGCAATGCTCTAAGCGGCGATCTTTTAAATATTGACACCCTCCATCTTTTTGTCATGCAGATCCTAAAGCTACATGACCGCATGCTGCAAATCCCGGTTCTGCGCTGAAGAACACAGCAGCCGCAGGTATGTGCGTGCGAAAGTGCGGGACCGGAGCGCCTGGCCTGACTTGCAGAGAAGCCAATGTGCAAACGGGGGCAGCAGGGCACCCGAGGCAGAGCGCTCCACGGCAGTTTAGCCAGACGGTGTGACCCGAGTCGGTCAAGCGGCCGCACGAACGATCAGTGGCTCTCTGCCCGGCCTTCTTCGTTCCAGCCAGAGTCCCGTCTATGCCGCAGGATTTCACCTGCGTGGAATGCCTTCTGTATTTGTTTGAAAAGAGAGAACGTGAAGACAGATGATACTTTTCTGAATGCCCATCCTCTTACCAGTTGTGGTAAAACAGCCCCAGTGTTGTGAAAAAAAAGGGAATCATGAAGTAGAGAGAAAAAATATGATCCTCTTGATAATCCCCTGTAGAAGAAAGAAACAAAACGAGTTTGTGCTGAGTTAGGATTAGCTCGCTGTCAGTAATGCCAGGCCCTGAAATCTAGGATTCTAGCTCCCTTTGCACCCCCACAACGTGTGATCTTGCTTACCATTTAGCTCTACAATGTTGAATGCGATGATGGAAGCGGCAATCACCAGCGACTGTCCCGCCTCAAGCCCGTTAATTCCGGCGAGAATGTTGATGGCGTTAGTGCAGAACACGGCCAGCATGCCCATGTAGACGTAGTAGAAGATACCTGCAGATCAGAGCGAGCACTTCAGCATTCGTACGTGACGCAGCCTGTGGCACAGCGCACTGACGGAAAGCTCTGCTCTTGTGCATAGGCCATTGCCTAGCAGTCTCCGCAAATTTCAAAATCAGTAGCTTATTAATAAATAACTCCTTCTCCTGGGAACGTGCTGTCACATGTACGCACCCACAGGGCCCCAGCATCTGCTGCAAAGGGAGCACGCGTACCGAGAGCTGCAGAGCCGCAAAAGGCTGTAGCGCTCTTTCTGCGCTTTCACGGTTTGGGTTTTGGCCTCTGAGTGGCCGATGCACGTGGCACTTGGATGCCCGGACGCCGAAGGCCACGCACGTGGTCGGGTGCCTCGGCCGCTGGATTCTGCAGAAAAGCGCGGCGCCTGACGGCACAGGCACGGAGGAAAATGTGTGACAGCCGGTCACTTCCTAGCGTAGCGGTTGCCCGGAGCTGCCCTCTTGTTGGCAGCTTAGGCGGATCCCTCCCGAGTTTCTTCTGCACTGTGAGAATTGCTATGTGCTACGTGTCACGGTTTCAAGGGAGCGTGTCCCCTGTCGCTTGCGGCATAGACAAGGGCCGGTCATCGCTTACCCAGATCCAAGTGCATGCCCAGTAGCACACGGAAGGGCTTGGGCACCACAATCGTCGTGTTCCCAAAGTTGGTGAAGTAAACCATGAGCAGTGGGAGGGAAGCCATGGTAGGGAGCAGCAGCTTGTGGCGCCAGCGCAAGTTGAGGACATCATCGGCAAAGCCCAGGAAGATCATGCAGCAGATGGCGAGGAGGGAGCCAATGAGCTCCACGAACTGCCGGACAGAGAGGCCGATGACGGCGCGGCCGCTCGCCCGCGCCCGCCGCCCTCCCGCGCCGGGGCCGCCTCACCTCATGGTGCGGGAAGGCCGCGCACTGCTCCTCCACGAAGCACCTCAGGAAGGGCACGGGGATGAAGCAGAAGAGCACGATGAGGAACACGACCCCGCTGATCACGCCCTGCGCCTCGGGGCTGAACGAAGGGACGGGAAGCAGGGGTCAGCACGGCGGGCGCGGCTCAGCGCGGCGGTGGCAGCGGCGGCAGCTACTCACATGGGCCGCCGGGAGACCTTGTTGAGGTCCTCGCCGAAGAGCCGCGCGGCGAGGAAGCGCTCCTTGAAGGCCGGGATGAGCGTGAGCGTGGCCGCGAAGCCCAGCAGCGACCCGGCCACGTTGATGAGCAGGGGCACGGCGGCAGAGCCGACCATGGCCGCGGCGCGGGGCGGCCGGCGGGGCCTCCCGGCGCGCGTTTCCAGGCGGACTCTATACAGCGAGGCACCGGGCGCGCGCCCCTCCCCGCTCCCTCCGCACGGCCGTGCCCGCAAGCACCATGGCCGCCTCGGCGACTGCCCGACCTGGCGTCATCCCGGCCTTCGTGACAGGTACGTCATTGTCTGCTCCCCGTCCTGTTCCGGCGGACACGGGGGCGGTGTCGGGCCGGAGCAGCCCCCGGGGGCGGGCACAGAGCCCGCGCGCTGCAGGGCGGAGCGGCTGCAGGGCACGCTCCGCTCCTCGCGTGTCGAGACATAAACGAAACGAGCGGCCCTCGGGGCTGCGGCCGTGTCGGGAGGGGCCTTGTCCCGTCCGCGGCCTCCCGGGTGGCTGCAGAGAGGAGCTCGCGCCCTTTAGCGGAGGCGGCCGTGAACTCCCGAGTCAGGCAGGCCCTGCCCGGAGGGACAGGCAGAGCGCTGGGGCCGCGAGCCCGGTGGCGGCGGCCGCCGCGGGCTCACGGGGAAGGTGCCCGTGCTCAGAAGGTGCAGGACGCTCGGGACGCGCGCCGACGCCGGGCGGCCCCCGGGGCCGCAGCGGCCGCCGTCGTGCGCGGGGCGGGGTGAGGGCGGGCGGCGCGGCGGCCTCCGC